ATATTTGTTTTCTCTTCTATAAACCGCTGCAACTCTGGTCCGAACAGCTGATCGGCAGCGCAATACACCGTGCGCGGCACAGTTGGGCTTAGGCATAGTACAGCAGTTATGGGTTGTAGTGCCAAAGGAAAGGGCTGACAGCAAGAAAGCAGTGAAAATGTTCTTAATATAGAGTATTTAAACTGATATTGAAACACATTTTTCTGCTGACCTTGTATTCAGTAGTGCACTGCTCTGCTTCCCTGCCGGCACTCCTGTCTGCTCCTCCAAACTGACCTCTGTCTGTTGCAGGTAGGAACACACTGGCTATGGATAAATACCTCATACGTCCCAACTTCAAAAACCTGAACTATCCCTTTAATTCAGGTTTTTATCTGGCTCCAAGTTCATTGAAAATATCTGCATCCGTCTGGGTTATGTCCGACACAATTCCTGGGGCTTCCAAACAAAATTCAGTTTTGGCATTTATATGAGTTAAGTGGTTTACTAATGTTTGTGTTGAAAGAAGGATGATTACCATTCCTGCTTTCACACACACAGCACACATCACACACCACCTACACACACACACACACACCATTTAGATCCTTACCTTTCAGATCTAAATGCTTAACCCTTACTGTGCATGGCCATAGCTTGCATGTGCTTGTAAATAATTAACCCCATTGAATTCTTTCTTTTCTTTTCTCCTTATGGCTTGGTGACTCCCATATCCATTAATGGAAATGTCTGAATGCTATTTTAATCTGCTGGAATACTGATTTCTCTCCCTTTGTCTCCTCTTCTTCATCCTACTAACCTCTAAAGGAAAGAGCAGGGCGAGACTACTTACAGGTTTGTATGATTCTCAGCTTGTTCCTCCAAAGACACAAACACATACACTAAACATGTGATGCAATTATGATTTAATTATATGTTTTGTCACAGCCTCTTTATATCTGTTCTCATCTGGTTTGCGGGCTTGTTTAGTTTTTTAGTTAATTCATTGTTTTATTACAGATTTACTGATTGGGTCCAATGTCCAAGGATGAATTTATGTATTTATTTGTTTGACAACTACCAGGTAATCAACTGAATATTGCGATTGCAATCAAATGGTTGGGACATATTGATAAGTTGCTTTGTTGGTTGCTGGGTTCATTGATCAATTGATGGGAGGAGAAAGAAAAAGGATAACTAGCGTGTGCGATAACAAGGTTGATGTGTCCTGATAAAAGGAAACCAGAGGTGTCAGGTCAACATTTGTTTACCGTTTGAGTAACACTTAAAAGAACAATATCTAATACGTTCTCTAAAGTGCTCTGCTAAAGTACACTTATTGATTTGAATTGTGTTGAACTGAGAAAGACAGGCAGGAGGAGATGAAGTGGTAGAGACTGGTAGACTGAGACAATACAGCAAATAAAGTAGCTACTTGCAAATTACCTCTCTGGAAGGTACAATGTGTCCCAGCTTTCTCCTTCCTTTATGTTCTATTCCTACCTCACTTTTCCAAGTCCTTCTTTACATCTCCATCTCTGATTTTGTCTCTCTTCCTCCTTTCACGGTTTTCCTTTCTGCACTTGACTTTCAGGCAGAAAAGGGCGATGGACTTCTCTGTCTTTGTTCAGTGTGTGTGTGTGTGTGTGTGTATGCATGCACACACATGCCTTCAAGACAGGAGTCTGTACCATGTCTGTACCATGACGCACTTTTTCCATTGGGATGGTATTTATATAACTCATCAAACACAAGTCTACGAGAGACAACGAAGTTGAGAAAAGGGGAGGAGAGGGAGGTGGAGGGGAGATAGGGGGATTTCAGAGAGGAGAAGAAGACAGAGAGAGATTTGTGAGTTTAATTATGCTAGTATAGTTTTTTACAGTGCAGCAACTTCTTTGGAAACATTCGGGGGCCTTATATTGAGCCAGCAGCTTCTTAGGCATTTAAACTTAAAACAGCCACACACACAAATAAAGAATATGTTTATTCTCTCAAACACACAAACAAACGTTCTTCTCATCCCCAAACAAAACTACATTTAAGTAGGCTTTGTTGCATCCACAACAACATTCATCCCCCAGAAATCCTTCTGTTTAAATGGCTGTGTTTAATTATGCTTTCCTTTCTTAGAAACTTTTGTTACAGCAATTTCAATTTACACTTGTGAAATCATTAATTATGCACTCTTTTATGACACTATTTATTTGCTCTCCACCAAGAGAACACACAGCCTTCTGTGTTATTAGTGGTTTTACAGACTGCCGGCTGCTCGGCGGCGGTAGGTGCCGTGGTAAAGGGATGGTGGTTTTTGTTTAAGCAGACTTGTAAACACCAGCAGTAGTAAACATTTGGCGCACCACAAAGTGCTACAGCAGACATCATGCTGAGTGTAAGTGTGCTGGATATTGGCAGTGAGAGACAACGTGAAATAAAGGATAATGGGGGTTTAATCTGGAGTTTAGGCAGGTGTGCCTGGGTGTGGGTGTGTGTATTTGTAAGTCCTGGTACAGTTTATTTCAACTCCAGTGATGTGGTGAAAAGCAAAAGGAGGAAGACAGGCTACACCTCCAGTAAATGATGATTAAAATAAGTAAAAATAAATAAATGATTCATACTTTTTCTCTTACTACTTTCAACCTGGACATTATTTCTCATGCATGCTTCCTTATGGGAAAATCAAACAAGGTTTATTCCAAACCTGCAAGCCATAGCGCTCAATTCGTATTTATTGCTTAGATCTGATTTTTTTTTTGGGCTGTTCACTTTACTTTTTAAATGTGGCTCACATGAGATTCTAGGGTAAACAGGTCACGGTCCTGTAGTGACCTGCATGAGAAATGTCAGTCTAGAGTGATTGACATTACCAACCATCACACTGAGATCACATTGCAAACATTGCAGACCTGAATCTCATTTGGACCACATTTGAAGTGGCCTGAATCAGAATTTGAAAAGATTAGATTCAATGTGATTTGTGCTGTTCACACTGTCATGAAAAAATCTGATCTGAGATCTGATTTGGGTCACTTTGGCCTGAAACCTGAATGTGGCCTAAGAGTCCACAACAGGGCTCAAATAATTCAGACCAAACTAAGGAAATTATAAAGATTTAATTTAAACTACATCCCAATTAAATGTGAATACAGCTTGATTTTTTGTTTTGTGTTGGCAGGACTATTTTAACTTTTTGCTACTTTACACAGTCTGGATCTTCTTATATGGTTGGAGAGCCAAACCCAGGAAAGCAAATGTACATAGTTTAAGTCCAGGTTGTACATGTACAAAGTAATGCTTTAAGACTGACTTTAGCTTTAGATTAATGATTTATTTATGATGTGAATTCATGGCACACATCATAAATTTTTCTTCCAAAAATGAAAACAGAGTGCAGATGGGTTTACCTTCCACTACATCCCTGTTCACCTATTTCCATCCTCCTCTGAAATATGTCCCCTGTCCTTTCTCAGTATGTTTACTTTGCATCAATATTGACAGCAGAGAATTTCTTTTCTCCTTCCTCTGCTGAACTCCTATTTTAATCTCCTTCCTCCTCTATCTCTTTCCTCTCCTTTCCCGCCACCATCTCTGTCTCTCCCTCCTTCGCTCTAGTAAGGGTCTAAGTAATGGGAGGCTCTTCAGAAGGTATACTCGGAAATATAGGAGGTACCTACAGTACTACCCAGCATCCTCTCTGCCCCGTCCTTAGCCCAGCAACCTGTGGGAATGACTGACTAATAGCATGGAGTAGAAAAAAAAAAAAAATCTTAACTCCCTTCTTACCTCATTCTCAATCCCTTTTACCCCAGAAAGGACTTTGTCTCAGACAACTATTTCTGCCTGCTGCCTGTCGAATGCAAACAAGACTTTGTTACCATGCAAATTAAAGGGGAATTCCACCAAAAGTTATCTTTACACTGTAAAAGTAGTCATGGTTTAAAAAGGTCAAAATAGATAATACAAGAATGCACCACATTTCACTGCCTCAGGTAATTAACCATTTGCTGCAGTCAACAAATTCTATGTTGAGCCCCTGTCATTCTGAAAAGATGAAGTACATCATGGGATGTTGCTTGCCTTCATCCTTTCATAATTTAAAACTCATGAGAAAAAGAAGTCAGTTTTGGGGAAATTTTCTATTAGTAAAAAGTGAAAATACAAGGTCTAAATTCCCCTTTACTTTATATTTTATATATTATTTTATATGTGCCTGTTAGCCCACCTAAAATGTCGCTATCCACACTAGAAACTGTTCCGAGTCCAGCCACATGAGTATCTTTGGTTTAATTTATATTCTTCATTCTTCAACCATCGGTATATAGATTTTTAGAATAAGTTTTACAAAATAAAATAGTTCAATAACAATTTAGTAAAAAGGAACCGGAATACAATGAGCAATTCATGGGGCTGGACACAGTTTACTTTAAATTATCCCCCTACAACATAGTTATGCACATACAGATTGGGGTATTAAGCTGTTCATTTTACTGCATGCTCTGTGCATTAATGCTTCTCTCTTTTATAGCCATGAAAGAGTTGCAAATAATATTAATAGATTAAAGTATTCTTAAAAGATCTATTCAGCCCCATCCACTGTATTTTAGAACAAATTTCACTATAAGTGGAAAGTACAGCAAATTCAGAAAATGGCAACAACTATATTATAATTTATTGCCTTGAACATTTGAGAAGATATATTCCCATGTGCTATAAACGGTTCCTATACAAGTCTTGTAAAATAAGGAACATATTGCACAGATCTTGGTTTGGGAAATATTGGCAAATAGAAATTAAAACTGATTAAAAAATTCAGGTGTGACCCTGAGGTCTGGAAAAAAAAATGTGAAATTGTGGCATGGAAAATGTGTTGGAACCCTGCATCTCTCTCTCCCATTGGTCTGCTGCATTGCATGCTGGTCTATTTGCCTTAGTAACATGATAGTTTACTGCAGCGAGTCTCATTGATTGAGAACTTCTGCATCTCCACCAACCCCTCGAAGGTTACCAAAGATCTAAACGTTATGTGGATGTTAAGTGCCTGATGCTGTGTGTTATTTATTTAAGCTGATAAAAATCAAGTGATAGAGGAAGACAAAGATTGATAACAATAACATTAATAGTATTATTTTAATAGTGATACAATAGTGTTTATAGTAAGGTAAACATAGATACATCAATATAACATATCATGGTGTAACTGCAGTGAATAATTGAGACCAAAACAGAGGTTGTGTTTGCAGATTAAAACCACATTTGTGATAAACCATGTTGCTTCCCATTGAATCTTTGATTCGTTGGAGTTAACAATAAACATTGATTTACATGCTGAAAGTAATTTGCCATCACAATCTCTGAAAGATTATGCTCTTTTTGCTCAGGATGAATAGTCTAAAGAACATTTTCCCCAAAGAAATCTAACAATGGAAAACACCATTTTGAGGCTGTTTTAGGCTTTTCTCAATAATGGTCTCATTTGTTTGAGGTAGTCTCAGAATTAATGTGGTGATGATGTATTAATGTTACCATGCTTGACATATCGCATTTAAAAATCTCATTAACTCTGTTTTGAAAAGAGAATACTTGAATAGATTATCAGGTGATTGCAGCACTTCATGATCCAACAGTGACAGTTTGTTTTGGTGGCTTGGCGGGCAGTCTGGCTGTGTTCTGGTGTTTTGGGCATGTCAGCTGGATGGATGATGTTTGGGCTGAAGGAAAAGACAGAACGCTGCCCTGTGTCTGCGCTCTGAACTCTTCTCACTCTCTGAGGGGAAATAGGTGTTGACAGCATCCCTTTTTTCTTTCTCTCTCTCCTTGTGTCTGTGCGTGTCTCTCTATCAAACCTGACCTCTGCCCGCACACTCTCTTTCTCTATCAACTCCATCCTTAACACACTTTCCCCAATTTCCCCTCACCTTCCCCCCTCTGGATCATCACTTCCATCACTCTTTCTGTCTCCACCCATCCCAAATCTTTCTCCCTGCTTCTTCTTTTCTCTCTCCTCCTTTCGGTCCCCCAACCCTCCACCCCCACTCTCTCTGTCTCCTTCTCCTTTCTTCCCTCCCTCCCTCCCTGCAGTCAGAAGTTGAGTTTTAAGGAGCGTGTCCGGATGGCCAGTCCTCGTGGTCAGAGCATGAAGAGCAGGCAGACGTCTATCAACGACCGTCAACGCTGTTCCCCTGGCAACGAGGTGGTGGGAGGCGCCGAGCTGATGGGCGGGAGCCCGGCGAAGGTTCAGAAGAGCTGGAGCTTCAACGATCGGACCCGGTTCAGGCCGTCACTGAGGTTAAAGAGTCAGACTCGCACTGCTGTCCCAGATGGTGAGCCATGCAGTGTGTGTACGTCCATCTTACTGTAGCAACCAACACAACATCAGACAAATTACCCTTTTTAGCACAGTATGCCATTAGTAGATGTAAAGTTTATTTAATCCCAGTGGGCAGGTCATTGCAAACACATGCTCACAGAAATTAATTTTAGTGCTAATGGAGATCCTAAAGTTTCAAAAGATACAATTATGTCAATATGGCTGAATGTTTGGAAATTGCTTACAAGATGATGCACAAGGCAATTATAATATTTCCATTTGATGCTATGGTGCGTTAAGTGGAAAACACATTCTGGGTTTGTATATTTCACTCAGTGTAAATCATTCAGTGAATAACTAGAACAAGCTGATACAGAATATATTCTGTATGTGATATTGACAGTTTGGAATAAGAGAATATAAACATTAAAGCTTCTCAGGGAGGAAAAAGAGAAAATCTTTATGTTGAAGGGGTTAAGCAGGTAGTCTAATTTAGAGAACATTTACACTCAACATGCAACCACACAACCAGTGTACAAGAAAATACCACAATTAAACAAATAGCCTAAAATCAGACAACCAATAACCAAGCAACAACCAGCATTAATAAAAATGATTACAGGAGCTATAAAAAAATCCTCAGATATTAAAGGTTTAAAGCCGCTGAAAACTTAAAATCTTAACAGTTTCTCTGTATCCTTAATGGTCCAGTGTGTAGGATTTAGTGGCATCTAGCAGTGAAGTTTCAGATTGCAACTAACTGAACACCGCTCGCATCTGTATTTGACAACCTGGGAATGAGAAGGGGCTGTGAAGTGTGTAAGAGAAACTATGGTGGCCGCTAAACTCGTGAAAGGCCCTATTTAGAATCAGTGTTTGGCTTGCCTGTTCTGGGCTACTGTAGAAACATGGAGGCTGACATGGTAACTCCGTAGAAGGCGACCTGCAGCGTCTGTAGTTAAAAACGTCTCTTTCTAAGGTAACAGACGCACAATTCTTATTTGTAGGTGAGTATAAACTAATGAAAGCATATCATATTCAATTTCTGTCAAAGTATCTTCCTAAATGTTGGACTTTTAACTTCATATATATATTGTATATTCTCTCAATATTCTAGATACGTAGGATGATGAATGTCATGAATTTATGTTTTTCTTCAGGTGGGTTTATTGCCTTTTGGGAAAAACTCTTAATAGGCTTGAATTATTAAAAATCTCAATTCTTGCTTTTTGCACTTTTAAGGGATCACGACTGTACTATTATTACCTAAAATAGTGTATATGTACGTATACAGTATGTTGTGCACCAGTGTTTTTCCTCACATTTTCCACAAACTCCTACACTACAGTAATAAATGAAATTGCTGGCTGTTTTAATAGCACTTCTGTTTCTCCTCTTATTCCCCTGTATCATTTATTTGCACTGATTTTATAACCTTTATATGCATTATATCATTATTCACCCTCTTTTCATCTTCGCTTTTCTCTTCCTCTTGCTCTTTTTCTGTCTTTCTTTCTGTCTGTGTCTCCCACTTTTGTAATTATTGGCAATATTAATGATATATATATATATACCCTCTTCTCTCACATTACATAGCTGAGCTGGCAAAATGCTGCCCATTCCCAGATATCCCATCCAAGCAGGGCATAAATTTTAGCCTCTTAAAAGCCAAAATAGTATCAGTTTGAAAAATTCTTGGAGACTCGTGTCAAGATCCGCTATGCAGAGAGTGTTTTATGAGTTTTAACACTGGAAACGATTTTTCATGGGTCTACATTTATTGATGAAACGGCGGTCTGTCTCTCGCAGTGGACACAGGCATGACCGCAGAAGATTCCTTTGATGAGAGAGGCTGCCATTGCGATGTTACAGTGGAGGATCTTTCAGCTCCCCTCAAGGCTGTCATCAGAGCTGTCAGGTGAGATCCTGCTACAGGTACAACTCACATTTCAGGCCTTTCAGCTGATACAAAAACATCTTTAAATCACAAAAATCATTGACACGTTTGAAGAGATGTAATTCAGTCTGTAAAGGGGATTCATAAGATTCAGTAAGATTTGCAAACTCACATCCAAATACTTATATAAAGAGATAAACTGAAACTTTTTGTTTGATATGAATGCATAAAAAGAATACTGTAACTGAGACAGACAGAAAGGAAAGTCACTTTTACACTTTGCTTAGCTATCAAGTACATTATGACCTCCCTTCTGCTGACCACAACAGTCAGACCTGATTCTTCACAGCTATTGCTTTCATTTGTTGCCTCCTTATTTAGGAAAAATATTTTTTAATTATTCTCTGCTTGGTGTTTTACAGTGATGACCAGATTTCAGAAAGTTACTACAGAAATAATCTGACACATGACATAACGCTAAAACCACAAATAGTTGTCTTCGGTTTAAACAGATAAAACAAACAAAAATAAGCGTCTTTTCTCCTCTCCTGATCGGCTGCGTTTGATCGACTATAGCTATCTGATGACGATGTGTTAATGCTGAAACCATGCTGGGATGTGTGCTGGTCTGTCGGAATCAAGGACATGCTTCTCGTTTAAACCTTCCCACTGAGGGCTTTTCTTACATGGGTCCATTGATTGTGAAACCGCGGTGACAGCTAACTGAACTTAAGAGTTATCAATCAATTGATGATGTCACTGAACTGTCTTCTCCTTTTATGATTGGCTAGTTGTTGATCATATGGGTAGTACAATCCCAGTGTAGGAGTCACGTTACCTATTGATTGATTGGCCTGCCGTCTTACAGGCTGTTTATAACTATTGATCGGAAAGTTCATGAATGACTCAGTGTGCAGGACTTGAATTATTAAATTTCACTATATGAAAATACCTCCACCTAACAGAAGAGTACATTGTTATAGTATAAGGAACCAATAACTGTATACATGTGTTTTGTAGTTTGGTTTTGTGCACCCAAAAGAGTTGCAGTTTCTTCCAAATGATTGCTGTTGAAGAAGATCATTATGGTTTGTTTTTGTTTGTTTTTTAGATTGGTCAGTATCCCCTCACAGTGCTGCAGTAACAGCCTCTTGGGAGTGAACTGAATCCATAATATAACACAAAAACACAGACCCTTGTCTTTCTTCCCACCACTGTACATGTAATTCTGGATGGGAAAAACATACATTTAGCCATGAGTGCAGGGGGCTCACATGATGTTTGGTTCCCTTAAGCAAAGCTTTCTTGAATGTAGTTCTCGCATTCTCTCTTTATCTATATGACCTACTGCTGGGTTTCAGGGTATGTCTGCGGGGGAGTTCGAGCAGCCCTGCATAGTGTTTGTTGTTCTGTGTGTGTGTGTGTGTGTGTGCGTGCTGCTCTCTTACACTGGCACCGGCACCCTGTGAGCGAATGTTTATCCAACTGGCGCCAACTGATTCTCTCACTCCACTGCTTCTTTTGACCCTCTTCATATTTTTCATTGAAAAAATGGCAGTAAAGCAGGTTTTCCATTAGAAAATTACAGGTTGGTGAAAAGATTTCTCTGTCTCAAATATCATTCAGTGCCTTTCTGGATTCTTCAGGGTGACAGGACAGTACTGTATCACAAATAAAAAATTGTGATGCAAGATGAATCAAGGTTGCACATATATGGAATGAAATATGCATTTAAATGTTTGATAATATTCTTAACACATGTACAGATGCTGTCCATATGGAGCAAAGAATATTTTCTACAAATAAGCTGTCCCATCTGCACACTTGCAGTGAATAGCTGGCAATATATGTGTACATCTGTTACTAGGTTATACATTTACATACATATATTTATATTTTCAATCATCCTTCAATTTTATTTGCTATAATTACCAGTAGAGGTATCTTTAGTACTCTGTGTTTAGTTGTAACATTTCCTATAATCTAAAGCAGCTCCACTGGCTGCATCTGACCCCTGCCTGTACACAGTGTGGGTGTCAGGTGGGTATAACAGAGTGTGGAACATCCAACTTCGTCCAAATTGGAACTTTTATCATTGTAACAGAGAGTACAAGTTATGTAACAATTTCCAGTGGAATCTTTTTGGACTCCACGTTCAAACACAAATCATATCAATGGAGTAATGCTCCCTCCTAAATTATAGTTTGCTGATTATATCCAGTCAGTCATTACTTCAGTTGTTCTGGAGTTTTAGAAAGATAAGATATAGAAGATATAACATGCCAAGACTTTAACCTGCTTCATAGTTATACAGTGAGCTGGACTGATATCAGTCAAACCCCCTCTATTACTAGCCCCTCTGTTTCGCCATACTCACACACACAAACATCACCACTACCACCCAACCCCGGCCAGGCCTGCCCACCCAGCAGGCCTCCTCCATGGGCAGCCAGAGCCCGGGGCTTTCCCAGGGTGTCGGGTTGAGGGTTGGACACCCCCTCCCCTGTCAGGACTGTTATTACAGAGGGTCATCTGTCACCGTTGTTTCCACTTAGACTGAGAAAAAGAGGCAACTGGAGAAAAGCAGAAGCCACTGGGGAACCCAGATGCACTAAGTACTTAGATCTCCTTACCTGTATCAATATTATTCACTCAGCTGCGTTTCACCAAATAGAAGGAGATACAGAATTACACTCAAGTTTTAAAGTCATTCATTTTGGTTGACAAGAAAACCAGGGGACTTTGGTTTCCTGTTGGATACTCCTTGAGGTATTTGAGATTTTAATAATGTTTTCTTTATCACACTCCCAAAAAAAGATAACAACGATCGTCGAGTGGATTTCCCAAAGTGGCTGCTACCATCTAGTGGTTGTTTGTAGCAATTACGTACTTATTGTTTAATCCTCTTTTGACTTTGTTTCTCACTTTACTATTCCTCTCCCTCTGTATGTCTCTCTTTATACTTCTTGTGTGTTTGTTTTTGTGTGTATAGGATCATGAAGTTCCATGTGGCAAAAAAGAAGTTTAAGGAGACACTGCGCCCGTATGATGTGAAGGATGTCATAGAGCAGTACTCTGCAGGACACCTGGACATGCTCTGTCGGATTAAGAGTCTTCAGACTAGGTCAGGACACACACACACACACACAACACACATACATGCAACTGGTCTGACAACTGGTCTGTCTAAAAATCCTTATTCTCTATACACTGCAATGTTTACCCCTTTTTATGTTTTTTATTATGTGAATTATAAAATGTTTTACTCTTTACTAAGGACTTGCATAGTAGGTGGATGTTGTCGCCAATGTTGCTGCAGTTCCTACTAGTCCCACAATTCTTTGAAATGAAATTAACCCACTTTTACCTTTATCTAATTTCCAACCATGTCTTTTTTTAACCCAGTGTATGTGTATGTACTGTATATGTACATGTTTGCCCCCTCTCTCTCCCAGACTAGACACTGTAGTGGGTCCCCCTCCAAGGCCTGTCAGCAGCCGCGTCAAGACCTTTTCCTCTCCCTCCCTGCATTTATATTACAGCCAGGCCCGGAGGAAACAGTCTTCACCGGGGTTAGACCTGCCCCGTCCTGATTTCTGCTCACCAACTGCTTCCCCGACTAACATACCCAGACCTTGATGATGTCACACCCGGGTCAAACAGCGTGCATTCACATGCTTTTGCATCTATCAGAAAATCGCTTGCATCTTTACACATGAATAGCTTAACTCAACATGGTGTAAAGAAATGTAACTCTGTGCCAACTGTCTCACACACCTTGTAAGCTTTCTCTGCTTTTTATTCTTGTGGAGCTTCTTCAAGCTTAAAAGAACATTTACCAAATTGGCTGCTTGACCCAGGTGTGGATTTAGAGGTCATCAAGGAGCTCAAGCAATGGATTATGGACAAAACTGTGCATGAAAAAAAAAAGACAACTGAAGTTTTAAACTCCGATTTAACATTGTAGGTGGAAAATAACTGCTGTGGTCTGAGCCTCAATCATATGCATTAAGAATCAAGCACTGGCCACCAACAGTCATTCACTTTTTCTACTAAGGAAGTAGTCCTTTATCACATCATTCTTATTTTATTAGTAGTAAGTAATATACAATATTTTAACACTTTACTTATTCATGTCACACTGGAAACCATGTGATAATCCTGATTTGGGCCCCTTGAGGACCTCAACTAACTGGAACATCCTGTCTGCAACTGTAGACATACACGCTGTTCAGTGAGAAGCAGGGTATCTATTTTGTCCTTATGTAAAAGCCCCAATCCAGAATTTATTTGAACACATAAAAGTCCATTTACCATTATATGCAGGAAGTCTTGTTCATCATCATTCATACGTTCATTCAAAATCCAGCTGTTTGACTTAAGTTCCTATTTCGTTTTGCAGCTTCACACCACATATAAAGGCTCTCAGTTCTTCTTTCAAAAGTCTCTAATCATTTAATTTGGAAAAAGCGGGGGCACTGTCACACAATTATGGATTGGGATTTTTATATATTTTTCAAAAAGAAGTTTGTTTTTAGCTCTTGGTAAAGAGTGTCATCTTGTCTTTTGTTGTGCTGAATGAATAGCAGTGACTTAGGTGATGCCAGTGTTGTCAGTAGTACTCCTGGGGAATAACATTGTGCTTGTTTTCTGTATATGAATGTTGTTGAAGTGGACAAAGGCTGTAGATACACACAGACCACCTGAGTGATGTTACTGTCTCTCATCAGCATTGTTACTAGACTTCCATTATGTCGGTTGTCTGTATGAATTAATGTAAACCATAATGTTTCACTTTATTTAAAAGCAAGTGACTTTCTTTACCATCCATTAGGTGAGGCACTTAAAGGTCCAGTGTGTAACATTGAGGGGAATCTATTGGCAGAAATTGAATATAGTATGCTCATAAATCTTTAGTGTATAGTCACCTGACTATAGGCATTGTTGTTGTTTTTTTACCAATGAGAAGTTTTGATCAGGTGTCGGGTTTACAGGCAGGGAAGAGTATACTAAAAATGTC